AAAATATGATGCACAAGTTCCCACCGTCGGCATGCCTCATTATGGTATCGTAATGGACTTGAGGTCGGCAAAATGTGTTTTTCTTCAACGGCAGAAAAATAATCCACATGACCGTAATGCCATAGCTGTGATGAGGGATGGAAAGAAAGTAGCAATGTCTCAAAAATGCTAGCTCCCGTTCACAGTCAGCTGGCATCGGTGTCGCTGGGTGTATATGATAGAGGGAAGTTGTGCAACCAAATTTGCCGAGTTCGCAGTTTTTCGACGATAAAAAAATAACTAAGGCAAAAACTCACGGTTTTTCAGCATTTTTGTAATAAAGACATTGTCCTCTATCAATAATCCGCCCCAAATAGAAACGTTTCCACTAATTCTTGTGTTTTTTCGACGTTTTTCGAAAAACCTGCGATTAGGCTGCGAAAGTAGAACATTCCAGAGGGGGTGAAATGGAAGAGCCAAACTTAAAGCGTAAAAATAGAACGCGTATTTTGACCTCTACGTGGCCAACAAATGGCTGGACACGGATACGTTTTTGGTCGTTGCCAAAGAGCCCCGCGTCCATCGCCTGGCGATGCTCTTCCAATGAGTTTTTACGTAAAAACACAAACAAAACGGCCCTTTTCAGGGCCACCACACACTCCAAAAAGAGAACTACCGTAACAAACACACTATTTAAATAAATCAAACGCGTTCGTTTTTGACAAATACAACTTTATTGTTGACCTAATTCTTGGCTAAAAATCACCCTGGGCGTTTAACCGAGGATGTCCCCAACTTTTGTGAAAACAGAAGGGTGGGCGCTTGCCCAGGGAGGGGCGCATGCCCGGGGTAATATGGTAATGTACATAGATCATTTGAGTGAGTCTGGTTGCAGATTAATTCATGAATGGTAAGATTTCCTCCTGAGATGCATAGCTTATACAGTATGTACAATAGGTTATGACTACCAGTATATTTGTGTGATTAAACTTTATCTGACACTTCAAGTTGTATATTCTCAAAGATACATTGTATGTTTAAGTCACTCATTTATGTTTGATTTATGCTTCGTTCTCATATAATACATTGTAAAGTGATTTAATTTCCCGTGATGAAAACTTTAAGTTAAGCTGGCACACACACTCTTACAATATTGGAGACATGCACTTTATTTGAGTTTGGGTACAAAAATTGCATAAATATGAGAAATAGAATTGGATTGCAAATTTAGATTTTTGATGATATTAGTCTATCATTCACTCTTAGTTATTGGCCATACACTACAAATTCATTCAGAAACAAGTTACCTTGTCACATGACCAATGATTTGCATGTCCAATTTGATGCATACAATAATGTATATTAATTACCCGGTAATAGCAATACATAACTTTGCAGCCATTTCCAATTTTGGTCATAGCACTTTATCATAGGCATGAATAACATTTCCCATAATTGCAACAGGGACTGTATCCTTAACAATGACTTGTTTTTCTTTATATATACCTAGCTATTGGCCATAAAATACAGGATGTAATGGGAGCCATGTCTGCTGCCAAAATCCTGAACAACAGATTGCAGTCATTCAGTAAGTTTTTTTTGTAAATCTCATTCATTAATTATCTCAATCTCTTTTATTTCAAGGTATTGGTTTTATAACATGTGTTTATTTGTTTATTTATTTTCTGATGTGCAAAATGCTAATTTCTACTGTTATAAACAGATTATTATTTTTTTAGTGCTGCTGATATAAAAAATAATAATCACTGATATATCAGCTTTGATAGTCACTGGCTGAACAATAAAAAAATATATCAAAACAAATACCATTCTGATTTCATTTGGTGTTATTGTACTTCTGTCGTCAATTGGATCATGTTGTTGGCTGATTGTTAGGAGAAAAGTGATCTACTTATTTGAGTGAATTTGTAGAGTGAATGATATCAATAGATCATTTCTAAAACATGCATATAATACACAGGAAGACTATAAGGCAGATCTTCCCTGTTACCCTGAAGACACTAATAAAGATGTCATTTGAAGGAGAGTAAACGATATGAATACTTGGCTTTGGAGAATTCACATATACCCAGCTACACCACCACTGGTGTTGTCATCAAACTTGTATTCTAATATTTTCTATTTTCATTGTGACAGGTAAAAAATTGGTTGACAATTTATTCCGACACTTGATTTTATTTGGAAACGTTGAGCCTAAAATAGAAACTACCTACCAGGTAGGTACACATGTTTGTGGAAGCTATTACCAGGCATCTGTGACTGAGATCAGTACAAGCAAGTTGCAATCCTAATTCCAAAATGTATACATATTACTGACAAGTGTCAATTATGCTGTCTATAATATCACCTACAGTAACAGTATTCTGGCTAATAGCAGAGTCAATACAATATTGTGCCTGATTGGCTACTCAAACCTAACCAATCAGACCAATTAGAGAGCAGCTTGTTTGTTGACCGGTATTTTTTGACATATCAAATTCTGCCTTGTACATATGCATTGCTCATCTCTAGATTCTTTGTCTGAACACAGCATTTATAGATGATTCAAAGTTCAAAGTTGCATGTGGATGCACATTGACAGAGTGTAACAATGTTGGCGTCGGTGGTTTCTCATCGGTACACAACTTAGCCAAAATAAAAAGCATCATAAGTATCATAAGACTAGTAATACATTTGGCGTAAAGGTATTCAAAAATCTTTGGGGGGGGGGGGTGTTGCCATGGTTGGCCCAGAATTTTTTGTCAGATTTCGCATGCCTATGTGACCTGCCTGCCAAGAACGAAATCAGCCCATCGGAAAAAAATCACAAAACAGTTAATATGTGAATATACAGAAAATCACACACACACACACAAACACACACACACACATACACGTAAACAAAAGAGATTTTAAGGGCATCCTAGCAAAGTGGACTGCCAACATTATTGATTAAATATACTGGGAGAAAGAGCAGTTCTCATTTTATATCATTTAACAAATCAAATACACTGCAAAATTTATAAAGTTTTTGAATAGCATTACACATTGTTGGACTAGCAACTGTATTCTTATGTTTGCTAGTGGAAAGGTGTTCCATGGTCTTGAATTCTCATTTATTCCATATCTGATAACTATTGTGTATTACAGTATGTTGTAATAAGTTTGAAGAGGAATGGTAGAGGTAAAGGTCATATTGCACCACAACAGCTTTACAAATATCTGCTAATTGTACTGGATACAATACGAAAACAGTTTATGAATGTGAAGATTGAAGCCACTGAAAATAACACTGGTGTATCACTCATGAAGATATTGGGTAAATAACTTGTGAATAGAGTTGTTGTGATTCGCTGACAATGATCTGCATTCATTTCATTACTACAGCATCCGACCATATATTACTGCACTTCCCTCCAGCGTCATGTCATACTAGTATGAATCAGTATATGTTGTCTTAAATTCACCACTTTCCAAATAAGGAAAGTACATGTGCAATTGCGCAAAAGATGTGCGTTTTAGTTGCGTGGATCAGATTGGCCAAAAGCTGTCAATCTCATTGGTTGGCAGCTTACAAGTCATGTTACTCATTAGCATATTTATCAGCACAAAAACGAAGTGACAGTTACAGAGGGCGCGGCAGAATAGACCAGTCGTGGTAATTTCACGTCAAGGCAGAAGATTCCACAAACTTGTTCTAAAGGATTTAGCATATAAAAAAATAAAATTGCCACTACTGGGCCAGTAAAAAATAAGCTTTATTCAGTAGTTCCACTTATTCATACACCTTTCATTGCAGGTGATTGTATATGGAAGGACTTGTCTGTGACTGTTATAAACCACTGCCTTGTACATTCAATACCTACCTCAAGTACCCAGGTAAGTTTGAATCCTGTATAGAGCTGAACAGTAAGCCTTGGGAAAACTATAAAGATTACATTGCTGCCAAGATTTGTACTAAATATGGACAACTGAAAAAATATATATAAAGTCAATAAAATGTCACTGTATTGAAATCAGAATTAACAATTATACAGCTAGAAGCACTGAGACTTTGATGCAAAGCTTTAGTTCTATGAATACTATGACAGAACGCCATTGCCTTGCCCTTATGTTTTGTGATACAGTGTATTCTGCTATGAATACACAACATAACAAGTGACAATAACTCGCATACTCCACTAATATCAAGGCAAGGCCATTGTGTTCTGTTATTATCACATATGTTTCTAGACTTTACTAAAATTGACAAGAAAGAACACTACATCCCATGCCTCTCCATAAGTGAGCACTAGAATAGTGACCTATTTAAAATTCTGTCCAATAATTGGTCAATTCAAATATGCAAATAGACACTCACTCATCACAGTGTTTTAACTGACACTGAAACCCTGACAGCCAGAGTGTCATTGCTGTGTCAATTTTTAATCATTTCTGTTTCGCCTTTGAGCTGGGTTTTTGATTATTTTCACATTTTGATTTGTGATAAAATTCTGTAGAAAACAAAGATTCCTCTCAGCAGACACACCACCCTGGTGTTTTACATTCAAGGAATGTGAATGAGCTTCTACTTTAGAATTTAAAAATGACTGCCAAGAACATAACTTCAGATGTCTGAATCGAGTTATGCAACACTTGACAAGAACTGACATCTCATTTGCATATCAGTTGTTGACAATACCGATAATGTTCAATACATGAATTTTGATTTGTATCGAGAAAAAAAAGTTATTGTTCACACTGCTGTATATAACTTGTGTTTTCTAGTTGGAAAGTTACATGGAAGTCATCAAAGCTACAGAAGAATTTGAGATGAAACTTGCTGAATGGGGTGAGTATTGTTTTCATTTTCTTGATGCTGTATTGTTGTCTTGCTGTCAGAATAATTAATTTGATAATCATATTTGTATAATGGACATTACAGTGGTTACTCATTGATTGTATTAGACATTTTGTTAACATCACAGTTGTTTATATAATGCATATTTTTGAAATAAACATCACAAAATCACATACCCACAGGCTTATTGTAGCTTCTTTGATCTTATGTGCAATTCTGCTTGAACATTACTCTAGTTTAGCAATGTCTGAAGGTCTGTATAATCTTGTGTTTTTGACTCCTGTGTGCGAAGCACAAAAAGGGAGTCTTTGCAGTTAGTGTGTCTGTCTGTGTGTCTGTGTGTGTGTGTCTGTGTCTGTGTGTGTCTGTTCTACTGATATCTCAAGAACCATACATTGATTTTTGATGAAACTTGGTGCATAGATGCTCTGGACCAATGCGCAGATTTGATTAGTTTTGGATAAAAATATGTGCAATATTAATTACCTAATTTGCATAATGATTAATCAATTTTGGGCTTTTCCACTGATATCTCAAGTACTAATCATCACATTTCAATAAAACTTGGTACATAGATATCATAGGACACTGCACAGACCTGATAGTTTTAAGGTAATATCAGTACATATTAATTACCTAATTTGCATAATTAATTAATTTTCAGCTTTTGATATTTTAAGTAGTAATCATCACATTTCAATAAAACTTGGTACATAGATATCATAGGACACTGCACAGACCTGATAGTTTTTAGGGTAATATCAGTACATATTAATTACCTAATTTGCATAATTAATTAATTTTCAGCTTTTGATATTTCAAGTAGTAATCATCACATTTCTATGGAACTTGGTACATAGATGTCATATGACACTTCACAGACCTGATAGTTTTTAGGGTAATATCAGTACATATTAATTACCTAATTTGCATAATTAATTAATTTTCAAGTAGTAATCATCACATTTCAATGAAACTTGGTACATAGTTACTTAAAGACTATGCAGAGACCTGATTAGTTTTGGGGTAAATATTTGTGCATATTAATCACCCTATTAGCATAATTACCCCGGTAGTTAATTTTCAGCTTTTCGACTGATAACTCAAGTACTGATCATCATATTTCAATGAGACTTGCTACATAGATCCTCTAGGACTATGCAGACCTTATTAGTTTTAGGAAAAATAATTGTGGATATTGATTACCTCATTTGCGTAATTAGTTAATTTTTTCCATGATTGTTCCACTGAAATATAAAGAGCCACTAATTGGATTTTATTGAAACATCATCACATTTCAGTGACCCTAGGACTATGCAGAGTCCCAATTAGTTTTTGGTAAATATTTATTCTTATTAATCACCTAATTAAAATAATTAATTAACACTGATATCTCAATTACTGATAATCACATTTGAATAAAATTTGGTACATAAATGCTCTAGAACAATAGACATGCCCAATGAATTTTGGGTTGAAATTTGTTTATATTAATTCACTAATAATAATTCATAGTTTTTTTGTTCTAATCACATTTCAATGAAACTTGGTACATAGATATTAAATTAAACAGGCCTTACTAGTTTTACACTCAAATCTGTTCATATCAGTTACCTGATTTACATAATTAGTTTTCAGCTATTCCATCAATATCTCAAGTACAAGTAATTTTGAATTAATTTTTAATGTGTCTTCAATACTCTCAGCACACGGGAGTTCTTTCTAAGCTTTCTTTGATTGACTTTTTAATACAGCTCATCAGACTTGCACCTTGTATCTGTGTCATATGGATCAATGCTGCCAATTATCAAAAATGCTTGGCAATGTGTTCTGTAGATCTACCAGTCAGTAATGCATATAAAGTGCTGCTGTGATTAGTCAGAACAAGCTCCAATGGCGTATGGAAGTATTGCTGAAAATGAATTAATGTTTATTTTGTATATTCTTACTATGTAGGCTTCCTTACTGAAGGTACCTCCCCACTGTTGACATATGCCAGGGATGTCAATGTACACTTTGCAAACAAAAAGGTAAGGGTTAAATCCATGACCAACGGTGTTTATATATATTAATCCTAGCACCTAGTCAAGAAGGATGAAAAATGCGATTATGTGAATGGAGATGTGTAGCAAACAGCACTTTCCTAATGCACAGAGTGCTTGTCTATCAACCAAACAGCGAATCAATGAATGTTTTGTATTTTTCTGAGAAATGCCTAGAAACACTGATTATCATGTCAACTGCCCACATACAAGTGATATTAAAAAAGCGTCCTGTCTCGTCTTTTTAAACTCTCTCTTTACAGTGTCAAGATCTGATTGTAAAAGCTAGAAGTCTGATGATGACTGATCTACACAATACTGTCTATATTGGAGATGAGTCTCCACCAGAAAAATTACAAAAGTTGCATAGTAGTGATGCCAGAGATGAAAAGGTGAGTTCATTTCAGTCAAGCCTGGATACTGTCAACCATTTGTACAAGAGACCAATATTTTGCAAATCAGGAAAAATATTGTCACAGTGAAACTTTCATTGGGAATCTCATATTAACTTGAATCTGAAGTAATTATTAATTTTCTTTTTGGATGAAATCCAAAATCAGGAAATATTAATTCTGTCTTTATGTCTGGAGTCATTTCTTAGGCATGCTTTGACCAATCACATTCAAACTCAACACAAACACTCAACACATGTACAGCATTTGAACAAATAAAACCCTAAAAACTGGCAGTTATTTTGATTCTTAAACCTGTTCAAAACCATTACCCTGAGATGAACCAAAAGTTATTATACATTCAGATTCAAATAATTCAATTGCCAATTGCTGACCCATTTGATTTTGTTCATGCCAATGTCTATTCCACACTAATTCTACACACAAGTACTTCCTAGTGATTGATCTTAACATCTGACATCCAACATTATATTTTCATTTCAGAAAAAAAATTACATACCAAATGCTGTTCATATACTTGCTGTAGTTATGAAATAAATTTCTCTTGCAGACAGCAATAGCTGACAAAGACGTCTTAAGTGAGGGCACACTACAACTACCAAAATGTCAAATTAGTCAGTCTGTTCATCAGTTGATGAATGTGGCTTATGAAACATTACAAGAAGCTGTTACAAGCACAACACAGTGGTAAGTATGTTCATTTGACACAACACAGTGGTAAGTCTCTTCAGTTGACACAACACAGTAGTAAATCTACACAACACAGTGGTAAGTCTCATCTGTTGAAACAACACAGTGTGGTAAGTCTCTTCAGTTGACACAGATAAGTTAACACAACACAGTGGTAAGTCTCATCAGTTGCCACAACACAGTGGTAAGTCTCATTAGTTGACAGAACACAGTGGTAAGTCTCATTAGTTGACAGAACACAGTGGTAAGTCTCATCAGTTGACACAACACAGTGGTAAGTCTCATCAGTTGCCACAACACAGTGGTATTAAGTCACTTCAGTTGACACAACATAATGGTAAGTCTCTTCAGTTGACACAACACAGTGGCGGCTATTTTGTTTTAATGAATGTGGTTCTAGTGCTATATCTCTTTGCTTGCTTTGCTTTGACTGATTATATTCAAATTTTAAATATTCATTATACATTATGTCATAGATATACAGATTTAATGGTTTGACGATCCTATTCAAAATGGCCGAATGGTAGCCATTTTTGTGCTAACAAAATTATCAAATATCAAGCATTTCTGACATTTATGGATGGATGGATTTCGTTCAAACTTATAACATACATTAGACATTACGGGTTCCTGATGGGCTCATACCACTAATTGAATTTCCATAGACGACAATGTTAACATATGAAGAGATTGCTATATGAAAATGATGAAGAAAGTTGAAAACATGGCTCAAAAATGAGAAATCAACATGCCAGTAATCAACCATATGAATAAAACTAACATGTTGGCCAGCTCAAACTCTTACAAATCTCAGGTAAACAAGACACACCTACTGTATTTAGATTGCACCTAGAGAAATCACTGGAAAAGCACCAAGATTAGAAATCAAAATACACACAGAATAAACCCACAGGTACACAGCCGCTAAGTTGTAAACAAAAGACCACATGTTGGTCTCACTTGAGAAACAAAATATTTAAAAAATTTCATTGGCTCTTTCAAGGCATTTAAATTGAAATACGAGCAGCCATTGGTTAATTAGTGGCATGAGACCTGATGCACGTAATTTTATTTTTCAGATCGGATTCAAAATGGCTGACTGGTGGCCATTTTGTTTTAATGAATGGGCTTCTAGAGCCATATCTCTGACATGCTTTCACTGATTATGTTCACATTTTTTATATTCATTATACATTATGTTATAGATATATACATGTATTCAAAATGGCTGATTTTGTTATTGCTGTTCCAGAGCACTATCTCTCAATACAGATACAAATGTCAATCATTTTAAAGTTAACCAATCATCATAATCATATTCCTGACATGGTTATATTCCAGCTATATTACTATAAACAAAACTATATATCTTAAATTTGATAACTAACGGGGACTGTGCCATGAATGGCTTATTTTCATTAATATTGCCAAAATGTGATCTTGTGAAAAATTTTAGTACTAATTGTATACTCCATTCCTTTCTGAAAATTATATTTCACATAAAACTATATGTGTTGAATGAATAGTATTATAATTTTCATTCATTTCAGTGCTATCCAGTTGTTCTACACTGTCAGAAACATGTTTGAACTGTTTTGTGATGTAGTACCAACATATCATAAACAGAGTTTGGTAAGTTGGTGACCTTTTCCCGTTTTGATAACCTTAGTACGGTAATCAAGTTTTTTCATGGTATAATAATAATAACTTTATTGTTATCGAATCTATGTTGAGATATAGATAAAATTACAATAAAGAATAAAATCATAATAATAAAAAAGTAAAAACGAAAAATTCAGTCGAGACAAAAGTAAAATAAGTACATAGATGGTAATATTACAATAAAATGTTATTTATTTATTTATTTATTTTTTTTTTGGTGGTTCTGGAATGGTAATTCATAATGTCATAGTCAGAATAAGTTCAACTGATAAGTGATGCAAATCAATGTGTATGCATTGATTATAGTCTTTTGAGTCAACTTTAGTCACCACCACAAAATTTGTACTCCATAATTTGTTAACAATTTTGTGCTCAAGAATAGTGCTCAAGAGTTTAAAATTTTGATTTTTTTTTTTAAATTCAGAGGAAATCTTTAAAAAATGCTTTGATGCAGACATTTTCAACTGTAGTGCACGATGACCAGGAAAATGATTATAATAGTTACCACACACATTTATTTTTTATTTGCCTTTAATTTTCTCTTACAGCAAGAATTACCTCAGCTATCAGCATTGCATCATAATAACTGTATGTACATATCTCATCATTTGCTGACAATGGGACATCAATACAAGAACCAGTTACCATCACCGCTCTGTGATGGTGCTGCAACATTTGTAGACATGGTACCAATCTTTAGAAAACTGGCAACTGACTGTTTTCTCCAACAAATGGTAAGTAACATTTGGCACAACGCTATACTATATTTAGTTTGAAATTAGATCTTCGCAGACGTCTCATTGTAGTGAGTTTTATAGAGCTATATCAAAGAGGGAACGACCAAGAAGCATGTAAAGTTGCGACTTTACACCCCCATTGACACTGTAATTGACGAACAGTACCGTAGGTGATAAGTTGTCTTCTCCAGGCCATTAAAAGCGAATTAAATAAACAATGCAATGAAACATTAGTTTTTTTACTTCAAAACTACCAGAAATCGTGACTTATTGAGGCACGACTTAGCAAGGGGTCACTGTAGTTAGGCTATATAACTTTCTAGACGAATGATGAGTGATAAAAAGATAAGGAATAAGCTACATTTGTACTTTAGAGTTTATGAACGATTATGATTTGTTTTTTGTCAGAGAATACAGCGTACACAAATGATGGAAAGTCTGTCCGGTGCTTCAGGCTTCATTCAAGTGGAAGAAGATGACAATAGGAAGACAGCTGAAAAAGCCATCAAACAGGTGAGTAGGTAACATTGAGTTATAACAGAGTGATTTGGGATATTTATGTGTGTTTTTTGAAAGTCATTTCATAGTTTAACTGCCAGAAATATGTACAGTAAACTAAATAGTGAATTGCTGTCGTAGAATCTTTGAACATTGTCTGACACCAAATTAATGTGGTCTGTTCTGTTTTATATATTCAGCTGTCAGTATGTGTGTCATTATAGACAGAGAAAGAAAAATACAGAGGGACTGTTTCAACATGTATATGTGCATCAATTAAATTTCACTATCTGTATAAATAAAATGCAAAATGTGATTTATAAAGTAAATCTTATGAAAATAGCCCTCGCTGAAATACTTTTATTATGTCAAAGTGTGTTCTGATGTTAATAAATGTTTTTTGTCAGGTTCTGCATCAGTTGAACCATCTCAGCAGAGTGTGGAATGAAGTCCTACCATCGTCAGTTTATGTCAAAGCCATGTCAACGCTAATTAATACTGCCTTGTTGGAAATCATTAATAAAGTTACAGCATTAGAGGTACAGAGATTTATAATGATGAATAAGGTTTGGACCATGCAGCCTCTGCAAATACAAAAAATATAATATTATAACAGTATAGATTAAAGTATCAGTATGGAATTGTTACTTAAATGCAAGGGAGTTTGAACTGCTTATGAATTTAATACATGTCATATTAGTCCATTGAAATATAGTGAAACATCTCATGATGGCGAAAATCAGGATTTTCTTTTATTACATAGCATATAGGTATCATATATAGGATGACATCACTTTCCTATTGTAAATTCAGATGCAGGTGCTGTGTCAAAGGTCAAGTGAGGAAAGTCACTAGCCATGGTCTTGACACAGAGGGCGATATACATTTGTCACTGTTACAGGCTTATGCAAACATATTATATCCAGCTTGTAATTACATTAATGAATTGCAAATATTTATTCACCAACATTCACCCGGGTACAAAATAAATCATCGTTGCAGGCTTGTACCATTGAAAAATGCTCGTATCCACCTGTGTAGAGGCTTGTCACTATTCAGTGTATCAAAACAAATGCTGCCGACAATGTTGTGAGGGAAACGATAAGGTGATGGTGATCTTCTCTGGCACTAAATCTATTTATCTATATTGTATTATATGTTATGTTTTGATCTTCTATTTTAGGATATTTCAGTTGATGATTCGGATCAGTTGAAATCATTATTTACAATTATTGTTGACAAAGCACCACCACTTCTCCAACTGGACATTTCAGAGGTAAAGTGGCTTCGTAAACCATTAATACCTGTGTTATTTGTTATCACTGTGAAGTATTATAAGAATACATAGAAAATTTGTTTCATTTTCATCAAACACTGATTCCAGTACGAGTAATTACTTTATTCCATGAGCTAACTCAATTGACAGATTTTGCCTGCCATCATGGTATAGCATACTTCAATTTCTTATACATTTAGTAGGAAGTCAATGACTGTGAAATAATCTAGATATACAAATATCTTTGAGAATTATGACTATAACACCAGTTATGTTTGCACAAAGATTGTATTGTTACAATCTTAGACAGATAATTTAAATGTATCCTGTTTATCTGATCTGTTCATATTTTTATTTTCCATTTGACTTAGACCCAAATAGGGATGTTTTAGGTTTCATTTGACTTAGACCTATATAGGGATGTTTTGAGTTTCATTCGGCTTAGATCCCAGATAGGGATATTTTGTTTTAGGTTTCATTTGACTTAGACCTATATAGGGATGTTTTGAGTTTCATTTGGCTTAGACCCAGATAGGGATATTTTGTGTTTCATTCAACTTAGACACAAATATCAATGTTTTGAGTTTCATTTGACTTAGACCCAAATAGGGATGTTTTGGGTTTAATTTGACTTAGGCCCAAATAGGGATGTTTTGGGTTTAATTTGACTTAGGCCCAAATAGGGATGTTTTGGGTTACATTCAACTTAAACCAAAATAGGGATGTTTTGAGTTTTATTTTTTTTTTGACTGATTTTGTTCTAAGCTGGTACAGACAAAAAACATAATATCATATACATATGTATGTCAATTTTGAACAACTGACAGCCATGTTTGTGCAAAAGAACACCAAATACACCCAGGCATGCCTGTGCTGATTTCAGTCAAACTACCGGTAATGAATCATTAGCATTGCTCATGGTTGGTTACTGTTGTTTTTCCATGTATCCTACTTGTTTCTTTGATACACTTTCATCAATTTGGATTTTCCAAATGTCATCATCGGTATTTCTGACACCCTTTATCAATTTTAAAAATATGAGTGATTCATAGATGAACTAATTTAAGTGTTAATTATTTTTGTTTTTTCATTGATGATGATTTATTATAAATCTTCAACACATCATCACTATAGGAAGTATACCCACTAGAAGTGCATGTAAATCAGTGGAGGAAGTTTAATGAATTGATTATTGTCTTAGAAGCGAGTCTACAAGAGATTGAAGACAGATGGACAGATGGAAAGGTAAATGTTGGCTCTATCTTCACATTAAATGTTTTTTACTCCAGTGTGTGGCACATAAGAGGTTTAACCCTGTCTATATGTGTTTGAATTTTCTTCCACTGACATGGCTATTTTGATATATGCTTATTAATTGACTGGTACTGGTGTGAACCTTAAAGGGAACCTCAATCCAAACAACATAATGACCCCTAAAGAAAAAGCTCCACAAATGTAGGAGAATGCAATTTAGTTTTGTTGTATCACTTTTCATTCTCTAGATATTCCACTTTTCATCAGTATTACGTAGTCAGCCATCTTGATTTTCAAGCAAGGTGATATATCGCATGTTGAGCACAAAAAGGGGACAAAAAAGTGACATTCTATATTTCACAACTAAAATATTGATTTTTATTTTTTTAACGTTTTTAACAATATCTTCACTTTATGTGTATTTGTGAAATTCCAATTTCCATTACTATAATTATATACATGAGTAATATGCACAACGAAAATTTGAACTAATTCGCATCAGTATTTCTCATGTTATAGATGA